TAAAAGCTTAAGTATAATTACTTTTGGAATAGATTAAAAATTTGTAAAATATTATTAATTTCTATTTTTATATATAAAAGAAAGTTTTCACTCTGCAAAGTTCCAGAAATTTATCATTCAACAGCTGCTTCAAAACTAATTAATCTGGGTTTCTTTCTTAGTATGGGTGATAAACATTCATTCTTGATGTCACATCTTTTGATTCCTTATGTCAAATGCCCTGCTTTAATGTCTATTTTGATGACCTATAAGAAAATGCCAACTGTTCCAGCACGAACCTGAGCCTTATGCTTGTTTCTATATTACCACTAAATACTTCAGGGTGCAAAAGTGAATGTGTAAATGGAGTAAGACATTCAACAGCACAGAATCCCACTCCTGGCTTTGTTAGTTTAAGACAGACTTTATTTTTCCCTCTTAAACTGAGTGTGCATTACTATATTTTGTGATATTTGCTCCTACTGCCACTGATGTTGAAAGCTTTGCCACTGACATGAATGGAAAGAGGATAAGACTCAGAATGTGCTTATGATATAAACTTGTGATTAACATTAACAGCTGGTAGGGGTTTTTTTACGCTAAGCCCCATAAATACAGCTGAGAAAGCATTTATCTGAAAGTGGAAAATGAGGGCTTAGCTAGAGCTGTGCAATCTTTTTGTAATGAAACCCAGAACTAGCCTGATTTGGGAGAGCTGCTAGAGGTCTGACATTCAGGCCAGTTTTGCTAAACCCTCAGTGAACACAGTGGATTTACAGTTTCAGATGAAAACCACATACAGCTCAGCAGAGATTTTGGCTGAATGATGCTTTCGGCTTTTGCTCAAACTTGAAACTTATTGGGTGTGAACACACAAAACCCCAAACTTACAAGAAAAAAAAAAAAAAAAAAGGCTGGCATGATTACCACGTAGGCAGAAAGCATGCAAGACTTAGAGAGCAGAAATCCAGCACTGCAAGTGGCAGTTTGGGGGAAGAGGTGTTGGGCATTACAGATGTGGAGATCTCGAAGCTCTACCACTATCTGAGGTACTGGGCAGAGGGGTGCAACCAGGGGAGCTCCAGCTAACCATGTCAGGCACCACATGACAACTGCAGTTTATCCAGATCATTTCCCAGAGCACTGACATTAACATTGCCTTTTATAATATGTGCATTGTATAGTAGGTGGTGATTTGGTGGTTTGGGAAGTAGCCAAGGAAAGAGACTCAAAGTAGAGTGAACTTCCTTCCAAAATTGATGTTGAAATTTGGCTACCTGAAACACATTACAAGTCATGGCTAAATCAGTAGGGTATTAAAAAGGAAATGACTCTTGAGCAGAGAAGTTTTGCTTTTCCCCTCTCTTGCATTGTAATTCTCTGTCCAGCCCTAAAGTGACTACTAAGCTAAAGGAAATTAAAAGAAAAGATGAATAGAAAAAAATCTCAAGCTGGGTCAAATTCATCCCCAGTGTAACTTAGCTCAAGTAGAGTTAAATCAATGGAGTTCCACCAGGGATGAATTTGGCTTGTTGTCAAAAGGAAATGAAGCAACTGTGCCCTCATTTACAGCTATCAACTTAAACAGAAATTTCATTATAAGGGAATTTCTGAAAACAATTCCTAGGTAAAAGAAAATTGCTAAGGTTGAACAGCATGTGTGTTTGAAAATTCCCTGAAGTCCACAACTGTCTGCTTACTTGGTAGATACACAATGCCAGCTAAATGAGCGCTCACATTGTTGAAAAGGTCTTAAAAAAACATCAGAGAAAACTATAAAATGAATAGGCAGATTGTCTTATGAAATCTTCTTTCTTTGTTTTTCTTGTAGTGAATCTTAAATACTCAACTGCAAAAACACTTAAATTAAAAGGAGGTCAATTGCAGATAAAAAGGAAGTCAGTAATATAATTTTTTATTACCTTCATATTTTTTATTTTGTTTTCCTGATTTAGTTGTAAAAGTAAGGTAGAATTTAAGCTGCACAATCCAGCTGTTTATGTTCTCCAGAGTATCACCTGAAGAGATCCTGTGAAGCTCCTCTTTATTTCCAAATAAAATACTGAATTAAATCTTACATTTAATACTGACATTTCCAAACAGATTCCTTCCTATATCTTTTACTATAAAGCTATATTATTAAGATGTAGTTCTGTTTTAAGAGGAATTATGGGTGAGAGTTCAGTGATCTGTTATAAAAGTTGTAGATTAAGATAAAGCTAGGTTAAAAATTCCCAACCTTGACTTTACAGTTTTGATTTTGAACTGGCAGCAAAAGTTTCAATCAGAGTGCAAAATATTTGCAAGATATTTTACGCTTGTTTTGAAGGACGTTTTGAACACCTTTAGAAACTTGGTCTCACAGCCTAAAACTTGCATGTAATGTGATAATGCAGAATATATTTCACGTTATAACCTATGAACACAATGAAGCTAGAACTAAACATATTTTCCAAGATGCTGTTTTCTTTAAAATGCTGAGGATTCTGAGATGATGATGATATTTTGTGAACATGCCATGACCAAGACTTAGCTTGTCCTTAAAAATATCTGCTCCTTGAAGGCTTGTGAAAATCCTGATCTGAAACCTTAATCTAATTGTCTGCAACTCTAAGCAAGGGTCAGCTTCAGGTTGACAACACCACCAGAGGCAAGTCCATCAGAGTCACCTAACCTAAAAGGTAACTTTTAGAAAGATTCTGCTGCTTTTGAACTGCATACGGAAAATATATTAATTCAGCCAGTTCTGATGAAGTAGGAGTGCTGAGTATATCCTGAATGTTCTCACATAGCAAATGCCAAAGAAAATACTCTTAAGACTTCTTAAGAGCAGGTTATAAATCACTGGAAGAAGCCATTTTTCTCAGGCCTCACTCTTATACGATCCAAGGCCTTGGTAAGGTATTTGGATAATAGTAGCAGAAATGAGTATTTTAGGCAAAACAACTTTCTCTAGCCAAGAGAGAGGCACAAGGAAATCAAAGGCTCCATCAGTTGCTCACATTCACAGGCTAACTCTAAGGCTTCAAGTCACAATCTTGGTCCATCAAACCACTTAGATGTGTTTGTGAATAACAATGCTCACCTGTGTCACAGCATATGCCACAGCACATGTCACAGCTGAGATGGCCACAATACAGAATATCACCATAAAATATCAGAAAGCCTCAGCCCAAACAGAGTAACACCACACCAGATCAGAAGACTTCAGGCATGAACACTTCTTATTCTTCAGCCCAACCTTTGACACCCCTGATTGCTCATGCACTGCCCCTGTGTGCCCTCTGTTCCCTTTGGTGTTGGTCAGTGCCCCCGGGCACTCCATGGCTCATTGCTGTCAGTGCTGCTCACCTGCTGCTCACAGCTGTGCCCACTGGGGATGAGGCTCAGCCCCACTCCAATCACCACAAACTGTGTGCCTACACACCTATTCCTCAAAGTTGTTAGCGTAGGCATGGTCCCATAGTAACATTTTTAAATGCTTGTTTTCTCACAATCATATGTTGTTTGTTTTGCTTTATTCCCATTACTAGGAGTAGAAAAGACTAGGGGAAATAGAATTTCAACTTCATAGCAGAAAAAGACTAGCCAGTGAAAGGTAACAGTTACCATGTGTAGATATAAAACCACCAAAAAAGCAAACTGTGTGTTTCAATTGTTATACTATGAGCAGAGAAGCAGAAATTTCACTTTAAAAACAAAAGGGGAGAATTTACCTATTTTGTGCCATTGTTTGCAGTGGAATGAGATGGCAATTGAAGCAATGACACAGATAGAGACCTTCAGGAACAGAGGACAACAGCTAGCAGGCCATGCAAGACCCCTGACTTCTTACCACCTGATTTGCTGTAAGATTCTGCAGACTGAACCTATAAACAGATATTCTGAAATCCATGTAAAACATAAAGAGTCAATCTGGCTATATGGTTACACCTCTGGAAAGCTGAATTTCATCTCTTTCTTTCACATATGCCAACCATTTAACTAAGCAAAAAGACAGACAGATCTACAGAATAAAGACAATAAACTTTCCCAAAGTGGGCAAGCAGAGATTCACGTGCCAACTATCACACCACATTAAGAAGAAATATGTGGTAAGACTCAATGTGAGTCAGTATAAAATGGGCTGATTCAGAACTTCACCACAAAGGCTGCATCCAGCAAAGTTCTGCTGGGGGCAAACATTTCCCAATATACTCGAACTGTTGGCAGGAATAAAAAATACTAATACATCCACTGGCAGAAAATGAACCCTTTTATTTTACAGAAAAAATTTTCAAAAGCAGACAGGTTTGTTCATTTCTTTCTTCTGTCTTAAATAGGAGCAATGGTACACCAGCACACAGTGATTTTTCATCTGTAAAGATGGGAGAATTGAACACTCAACAATCAAGTAATGTTCTGCTCAAAGAACAAATGTATTAAAAAGGGCTGCCTATCAGCCTTCCAAAACTTAGTAACTCTAATTCTGATGGCTAACACATTGACTTCAAAGATACTCACAGTCTGAGTAAGGCAAATATTAGAGTAAATACTCTGAGACTCAGCCCTAAGAAAGCAGAAAAAAGAGGCTTCAGTGGTGACATACTTTCAGCAATCCCATAAATCATTTATGCATGCAACAGATTCAATTAAAGCCAATGTGCTCTAAAGTTAAGTTTGTGTATCCATAACAGCAGGATTTTCACTGAAGGTCATTTATCTTCGTGACATTGAAGTGAATTTCTAGTTTGGATCTTTTCCTGGTTTTTAATTTTAAGGTTAGGTATTAACATTTTCAATATGCAAAGTTACAAATGCAGTAAGCACCGCTTCTATATAGGCATCTCCTAGTAAAAACATTCGCCTCCTAGTATTCATTCGTGAAGACGTGATGTGTGACAAAAGGCAAAGGTCATCTCAAGACTGAACCTAAGACTGAAGTTACAACACAAAGAACTAAGACTGGAGCAGTTCCTTTGAAACGTACATATTTTAAAATATCTTTAATTTTGCAGGCAAATATTTTTTTTTAATAGCCTAGTTAATCTTGAGAGGCAAAAATGTGCGACATATGGAGAAGGGGAAGAAAAGGAAAGAGCGTGGAACTTCTTCCTAGATTACTTCACTGTAACTTTCATCCTAAATTATTGTTCATTTAAGAAATTCAGGCACAGTTCCCACTTAGGAAAGAACCCAGTATAGGAAGCAACCCTAGGTATGAAAATTCTGCCATCTCTTTAACCAGAATTTCAGCAGAACACGTCTGAAAATATAATGCTCTACATGTTTAAAAAGAAAAAAAGATGTTTGCATAAACAGTAATACACATCCACGCATGTTTTTAAATAATATCCTAATACATGCTAGTAATACAAAATAATTATTCACAGATTTTCTTTTGGATTTTCCAGAATTAGAGACATTTAGTGTGAATTCCCTTCAAGCAGATTTCTATTAGGGCTTTACTATATTTAATTCTAGGTACCTCATTCCCCAGGTGAAAACAAAATCCAAAGTGGAAGAGAATTTGCTTAAATTTCATTCCAAAAATATTTTTGCCTCCAAAGCTTTGCTAGGAAAAAAACACTCCTGAAAATGATACAAATGGTTTTGACATTAGGAAAAGTAAACAAGCAAAATAAAGATGGAAAAATCATGCGGTCAGTTTGCAAGTGCTGTTTATTGTTTGAGGCAGGGTTAAAGCCTTTTATAAAGACAAGAACATATATGCAAACAGACTGAAAGTGACATTAGGTTATTCTAAACATCCCTATTCCAAATCCTGCTGCCTAAAACATTGCCATAGCCAAAATGTGTGGAGGCTTCAAAACAGGCCTCATGTAGGAACAAACTAAGATTGCTGTTATTTTGGTAACCAAAACAGATGACAAGTGCCCTAAATATTTCTGTTAATATTTTTGATTAAAGAAAAAGGCATGTAGCTTTCATTTATCTGGTATCTCCTCAGATTTGCAGTGTGAATTGGCCTTTCATTTGTAGTCATGTATGACATTAGAAGAGGCACGACAGTGGCTAGAACGTGCTTTCCAGACACCAATCAAACAGCTCAGAGATCCATTTGAACTACAAGTGGTGTGAACTGGATCGTTCTATGTTCATCAGTGATTTTAAGTATCTGTTAAAGATTTATTATATACTTGCCGAGTGAGCAAAGGCTTCCGTTTACTGAGTGAGGTCTAAAATGCTGAGCAGCAGCAAGCTTTCCTTTGGCACTCAGCCAGTGCCTCACTATTTCATCAGTCACATCTGCTTTCACGACTGGCTTCCATGTTCAGTTCACTTCCACCTGTAATGCCAGCTGATAAAAGCCTCCAAAGTAGACAGTTTCTAAAGACTGTATTTTTTTTTAACCAGGAAAGTGAATAAAGACCACCAAGTAATTTCAAACAAACCAAGAACAGCTAGGCACTGATAGCTCTCAACTGGGATCAATATGAATGCATTTGGAACAGCCAAGAAGTCAGAATTTCTCCATATTCCTTGGCCAATCCCATTGTATCAAGTAGGATTTAACACAATATATGCATGAAGTATGAGGGTTTTTTTCACAGTAACAAGTTAATGATTCTAAATATTTCAAACCTCTTTATCAGAAAAACAGAAAATTTGCCATGCCTTTTTATTTTCTTGACTGAAAATTTGACAATAGCCTTACACAGATATCAAAAGGGATTATTCAGAACTCTCTCTAATATATTAGTAAAGTTGCTAATTGTGTCAATTCCACCAGTTACTTGTGTTGACTTTTTTCCCCTCTGAATAATCACACCCATCTGGTGGCAGATTTATATCACTCCTTTTAAGCACTTTCCCCCCAAAATTTACGCATTTAATTCTAAACATAATCCCTAAAAGTTAAAAATAGCTTGTGCAATAAACCAGGAATAATACACACTGTCAATATCACTGATGAGGACTTCTTCCAAGTGTAAACAGTTAAGCTATGGCATTATTTTACAACATAAAGAAATGTTCACTTTTCTGAAGGCAAGAGCTAGTAAACGATGAGATGTGATTCAAGAATTAGAAAAATTTGTTTGTCTGGGAAATTACTAAAATCCTTTTCCTTTGCATATAAACATCTATACAGATTGACAGTGCTTTGCATGGCCAGATTGTTTTCAGGACATATATTTTTCCCTGCTGAAAGAAAAAATAATCCATCTAGGCTCATTTTGGGGGTGGGTGGGTGTACTACCAAACTGTGAAAGGATTTGTGTAAGCATGTATGAGATGATAGAAACACAAGCACTTAATTCACAGGGAAAAAAATAAGAACAGATAAGGCCTTTTTCATCTGAAAATACAGCCTCTGTCTTTTATAAACACTTTGATATCAGCACCCACTCTGGCTCAACAGGCCAGGCAGAGATAAACGCGGTGCTTTTGGAGGCGCCGCGGCCGGAGCGGGCTCAGCCCAGCCCCAGGTGTGACTCCTGCTCTCCTGCGAGCAGCTCTGGACCAGGCAATCCATCACCCTGCTCCTCCTGTCAGGCCGGGTGCTCGGCTGCAGCTGTCTGTCACGCTGGTGGATGGGACCTGCTTAAAGGCAATCATGTCAATCTCTATGTGACTACTCAGACTAAGATAGAAGGATGATCTTGACAGGCTTGGCAAAGTCAGCAGAAGGCACTAGAGGACTTTAGTTACATGCTTAAAATGTAGATGTGATTTGTGCTTCTTATGTGGAGGGACTGAAGAGGCACAAAACAGCGCTGTGTTTTATAGCTGGTCATCTCGGATGAATCTGTTGCCCTCGGAATGTTTTCCATAGTAAATGTAGCGACATTTCCCCAAAATGCCTACAATAAAAAGGAAATTAATTACAGTTAGGATTGAAGTAGAATAATATGAAATAAACACATAACTTGGGAAATTTGAAGGAGGGAAAGGAGCAGTTTTCTCTTGTCCTGTAAAAGAAAGAAAGAATGTGTATTTCAAATATTCAGTATTGCCATTTCAATCAGCAGTTTTGAACCCTCTGGAAAAATGTGTTCAAATACCTACATGACCTATCCTGTTAAACATACATCCATGACTATCTTCAAAACTAGAACTACATAACACTGAAACATCATATAGTGTGTTTTAAATCAGAGTACCTCTCTCCTGCTTCTAAAAAACCAGACAATCTGGGTTGAAGTTATATTTTGTGGTCTCTGCTTTCTGTGTCTCCCTGCTATGTGTTTAAAAAGTTTTCCTGATGATTGAAAGCAAAAAGAAAAAAAAAAACCCAAAAAAACCAAAACAAAACCAACCAACCAACAGCAAATAATCACAGTTTAATGTGGATGCTGGAAAAACCTGTCAAACTTTTCCAAAGTCATACTGTGAGCACCTAAACCACCCTTGTTTTCAGTGACAGAGAGCTGAAGTGAGTGGCTGAAATCTATATGGGAAGCCATCGACAGACATGGGCCAGCACAGTTGGCCTCCCCAGACTCCAACATTTTTATACAAACCAATAAATATTCAATAAAAACATTTCCAAAGTATCTTTTCAAACAACATTTCAACATCCCATGAGCAAAACACAATTAAATTACGCTAAATATTTGCACATGCGGGATGCTTTCAATAATTAGCCATAATACTGGTTTTGGGAGGCAAGGCACATTATTCACAGTGAGTACATGCAGAAAGATGCCTGAGGAAGCCTTAACTGCTGTGGGTGAGACACACATACCTGCAAATCTCACTACCTTATTCAAAAGCATCCCCTCTGGTGGTACTAAGTGGTATGTGAAAGCGTAAGTTCACAGTTACATCCCACCTGTGAACATCCTCAAAGATGCTAAATTTTACTAGCAGAGCTGCTCTTTGAGCCCTCAGACATGTATAGTCAAATTAAAGTCATCTCCCATGAACAGAAAGAAGGTGGAAGGGTCTCCTCTGCCTTGGGAGTGTCTTACCAGAGCAGTCACTGAAGTATCCAGCTCACCTCCATAAGGGCAAACATAACCTAGCCCACAGGAGACAAGCACAGCCTTACATAAAGGGTAAAGAAGGGGAGGAGCAGATCTTCAGTTCTTTCTTGTTTTAGATTTCCAGAACTCACACAGCTGTTACTGCTCCCACTTGCAGTATGAATTAACTATGCAAGCTTTTATATTCTCTGTCCATTGTTTTTCAGTATAGCATCTGGATATAGTTAAGATACACAAGATAAGCTACTAAAGCTTTGGAAGGCATGGGTCATGAAAGATTAATCTAAACCCATGCTTTTCTTCGTCTCTAAGACATCATGATGGTAACATGTTCCTGTGAGGGTTGTGCGGGGAAATAGATCAGCCTCTCATTTGTTGTGAAAAACTTTCCTCTTCAGGATAATACAAATACAGTGGGGACTATACAGTGGGATCAGTGCAGTGCCTGATCACTTTCCCCTCCTGCATAGAGCTTTCTTCAATAATTTCAATTTCAATAATTTCACTAGTGAAGCAGTTTCCACATGCAAAAGATGATAACAGCATTCCTAAACAAGAGTCTAATGACAACCAAGTTTTTATTTCCCTAAACAGATATCCCAAGTTGGTAACAAGGACATTTAGAGCCCTAAATGCAAAGGATACGAGCAGTTTATTAACGACATTCTTTGGACTCCTTTTTCACTGGCATTGATAAAAGTCTTGTCTGAGGTCTGCTGCATTTCTTAAGGACTGGAAGCAAGACTGTTTATACAGATGCTGGTGAGAGAGTGCTGTTTGATGAATGTTGGAGACTATAGCTAGGTGTCAGTGCTTAGAAAATGAGGCAAGGACATGAGGTATTAATATTGTCAATGATCTCCTGACAGGAAAACAGATACTGTATTCACCGTCAGATTTAAATAGACATCAAGTGCATTAATGACAAAAGGGCAGACTTCAAACAAAGGAGGCTGTATGGTGCTGTGCTGAGCCAGTCTCCAAGCTGGCAATAACCTGATCTGAAAAGACACTGTCAGGGCTACAGACAGGCCCGGGATTGTGTGCGGTGACAGAAAACAGAGATGCTGACAGAGATACCGGTGCCATATTATGCCAAGTATATTCTAACACTGTCTCCAGTCCTAACTAAATCTGACATCATTTCCTATCGCTTATAGTATCCTCCACTGCTCTGGCAGAATATTTCTCCCCAGACATCATTACAAACTCCACTGTAGTTTTAAAGTTACTGGCAGGCCTGTGCTGTCGTGGAGGCTGGGTCTAGAGGCCTAAGGATAACCTCAGTCAATCTAAATTTGGAGTTTGCTGGAGAAGTGCTCTCATTTTCACTGATATCTCAGCTACTTGAGGTGATCTGAACGCTAAAGTGTGAGGAGCTGTCACCTTGAATAAAATCCTTAAAGTAAAGACGCTCTGTTCCCGGGATGTTCAGCAAAGATGTCGGACAGTCTGGCAGCAGGAAATGAAATCCAGCTGCTGCTGCTCGCCTGGGGATAAAGGTGCTTGGGCTAGTGACAGTTAAAGTCAGCTGAAATTTTTGAAATCCTGCAGCCTACAATTGTTTAAATTAAGGAAGTGTTGTCTCCGCAGAGATTCCCTACCCAGGCACACAGCTGTGATTCGATTGCCAGGCATATTACACATGCTGCTCAGAGAGCCTTGATAAAAGCACAGTTGAAAATGTTGCCATGAGACCTTGTTTATCATGAAGGTTATTTGTAAAACAATAATCTTGCTCATAAATTAAATGCGGTGACTGGCATGGTTATTTGTTTTGCTTTGTTTTTCCTCTTTATGTCCCACCTCCCTTTGGCAACTACAGAAAGCTCAGAGAACTGCAAAATGTTTGTGTGCTGCAATGAGAATTTTGATGCTAAGATATGTCACATGTGAATTTAGGAAAGCTACTGCTTTTTTTCTGCCTATCTGCTATGGTATTCTTTCCTTGCAGGGCTGGGAGTACACTTGCTCTTTTGCACACAGACAAGGGAAAGAATGAGGAGAAAACAATACATCTGTGGCTGTTCTTGTGTTTTTAATTAAAATATCCAGCATTGGCCATAATAAGCTAAGTATACCCCCTATACATCAAAACAATACACAGCATCCAGAATGAGGTTTCTGCTCAAGGTTCTTAAGAAATGACAACACAAGGTCTCTTGAGGGATCATCTTCCCTGAATGAGGCTTCTAATTTTTCTTAAGTAGCTGATTCTACCATCACCACAAGCTGTTAGAACTATAATTATGAAAAAACTGCATTGGGAAGAATAATTTTTAAATTCACTCTTTATCTTTTAAATGTTTCCATCCTTCGGAATGGATGTTCTAATTATGCTGGGTAAGTAATGACCTTGCAGTTGCTTGCATGCATTGTGGTATCAGTCTTTCTTCACAAACACATTGTAATGTCAGCAACACCAGCCTTTCCTTAGCTGAGGGAAAACCCAATTATCCAAATAAATAAATACATACATACATGCACACTAAAGCATGTGAAAAAGTCCAAGTCATGTTAGCTCCTTTTAAATTTGGCATATTTTGCAGAGAGATATGGTGCTTTTAGACCTCTATACACTTTGCTAGAGCAACAAAAGGTTTGCAGATGTATTGTATTAGAAGTGGTAAAAACAAGTTACAATGGGAAGTGCTAGACCTATAGATCATACAGCCTTAGTTACAGGTCAAAATTCATCTTAAGCTGACAGTGATCTAAGGGAATTGTTGTCGGGTAGCATCTTGTTGCCTTTTCCTACCACATTAATACTCCACATTTAGAAAAACCCACCTCTCAGTCATCACAACTTGGGCAGCTTCCAGCAACACGGCTTCCTCCAGAAGCATTCAGTTTTCTTTTAAAAGTAATTACTAAAACTAAATAGTCAAGCCAAAAAATTTTGCCACCCCCATCGAAACCTATTGCCACATCTGCCCAACATCCCCACCAGGCACCATTTTAACATCAAATGTTTTTAATAAGGCCCTCTGCAAGTGAAAGCAGCAAAGTATTCACAATTAAATGTGTTTGTCAAACACTGGTCTGCAGTATCCATCAGGGAGTACATTTCAGCTAGCAGCCTTCTACCTGTCTTTCACATGGACTAACCACAGGGCCTGCCATAGGAGCTGCGGTCAGATAAAGTGTAGCACTCCATACACAGACTCAATATTCCACTGGAATTCCACTTCACCTAACTTTAATTAGAGCACAGTACCTAAATCCTCCACTGCCAATTTGTATTTGATCCATATTCATCTCTTTTTGCACAACCTGCTGTTGCATAGTTTTGCTATGGGCTATTAAACAGCTGCCATGTTCCACCAAGAAGCTGGGTGCATTTCAGTGTGGTTATACTACCAATCTGTAAATTGTTTTGAGACCCTTCAGGATGAAATATCAATGCCATTATCATTTTTTTCATAGGCACTTGGGCATATTCTACAATTAATGAACAGAAGCTGTGAAATTCCCTTAAATATTAATATAAACTTCCTATAAAGGAAAGTAATTCCCTACTGACAACATTTAGAGGAGAATAAATACCTATCTATGAACAATTTTAAGTCTATAATGCTACTGATTTAGGCAAAACACCTCCATGAGTCAAGTTAATCTAAAACTCTTAAAAATCTTTTTATCTAAGGGATATGTAAAGGGGGGGGGGGGGGGGAAGAAAAGAAAAAAAAAACAAAAGCAAACCCTTTTGTACAGGAGTTTAGTAAGTTTTCAGTTTGCATTTATCTACCTGGAAATTCTAATAACTTCAACTAGTTGTCTAGCTGACAACTTATTTTTGTTTCCTTTTGGTGAAACAGAATACTTGTTTCTATTGAATATGATCCAGCTTATGAATTCTCTGACACAGGGATCTG